CACACACTGCCCCACAAACATTGTCCCCATACACACACTGCTGCCCCACAAACACTGTCCCCCATACACACACTGTCCCCATACACACACTGCCCCACAAACACTATCCCCATACACACACTGCCCCACAAACACTATCCCCATACACACACTGCCCCCATATGCACACACTGCCCCACAAACACTGTCCCCATACACACACTGCCCCACAAACACTGTCCCCATACACACACTGCACACCCACAAACACTGTCCCCATACACTCACTGCTCCACAAACACTGTACCCATACACACACTGCACCACAAACACTGTCCCCATACACACACTGCTCCCCATACACTGTCCCCATACACACACTGCACACCCACACTGTCCCCATACACACAATGCCCCACAAACACTGTCCCCATACACAAACTGCACACCCATACACACACTGCCCCACAAACACTGTCCCCATACACACACTGCCCACATACACTGTCCCCATACACACACTGCACACACACAAACACTGTCCCCATACACACACTGCCCCACAAACACTGTCCCAATACACACACTGCCCCCATGCGCACACACTGCCCCACAAACACTGTCCCCATACACACACTGCCCCACAAACACTGTCCCTGACATACACTGCCGCACTCACACACTTCACCCTTAACACACACCACTGCTCCTATATCCCAGCAGACCCCAGGTAAGTTGTCAAACTGTTCTTAAACAGTATGACTACTTACTCTGGGGTGGAATCCTGGCACTACTGACACCATAACTACTACACTGAGCTGTAGTGGTTATTGTGCCTGGATTATTTATTTAAATAATCTACAAGTGCCCCTCCCGAGATCAGGCTCTGGATCCGCCACTGACTCCCTCTAGCATATAAACTCATTGAGCAGGGCACTCAATCCCTCTATTTCTGTGTGTCCAACTTGTCTGGTTACAAAACTCCATTGGTGTAAATGTTAGAGAGAGAGGAATACAGAATAAATTCTACATGGAGCACCATATGGAGGTTTAGTTGTATTAGAATGGAAAGGTCCCACTAAAAAGTTGACATTTTCTAAAATGCTTCTTTAATCTGGCTAAACTAATGTGAAAGTGTTTCTAATAGTAAAGGACTTTGCAAACAATGTATTTTCAAATCAGCATTAACATTCCACACCAGGGCAAGTCAACGTGGCAGCAATGTAGTAGGTATCACTAAACAATACACTGGCTATTGTCAACACAATAAACTGAATATGTACAACTCTAGCACTGGAGGTGATCTAAAACTGATAAATAACTTTTATAGATACACTGCAATATCTTTATATATGCCATTCCTACTTTTAAGCCCACTATTCTTGTAGTGGACTCCAGGTAATCCAACTGGTTTATGGAATTTTCTCCTCTCAGCCAGACTGGAACCAATGAATAATCAAGCATATATTCCCCCAGTAACTAGAAAATACATAGTTCTGGGAGTCAACTGATTTTTATTTGGCCACACACGGCTTTTAAGCACTGACCCCTAGCATGGGGTCTCCAATACAAAATTACATGTTTTTTTCTCCCAAGAGCCTCTGTATTTGAGAGATAATTGAGTGAGAAAACTATAACTCAATTATCTCTCAGCTACAGGAAAATATATAGAATATATACAATCCCCCAAAAGTACCCTCAATATAACCAGGAACCCAACAAGAGTTATATCCCTGGATAACTCTGGTCTGAGTGTCCAACTTGGCCAAATATCACTCAGATTTGTTTGGTAGAATTGGATCGCCACCAGGGTAAAGTTTTGACCGGCCGGCCATGAGGTGATGTCCCAAAATAGTTCCAGGGAAATAGGGGCCCCAGCCGGTCTCTGTTCAGGAGTTCCTGTGCAAACACCGTACAAGGGATTCTCCTGATTTCAGCAGAATGCTCCCCCTAATCAGTAGTTCCTATTTCCGGGACATCGTTCGCATGGTTGGTAGGAAAGTAGGACGCGCAGCGTTATAAGCTTTACCAGGGATCGTGCGAGCACCTAGCCGAAAAGGGTTCCAGGCACTCAACGACCAAGTACCGCTGCCCATGTTTGGGAGACAAAATGGCTGCCATTCTTTTGTCGACCACGTGTATTTGGTTACACAAAATGGCAGCCACCGAGGGGAAGCATTAATTAATTACTTCCCTTGCGGTTTCGCACTTGATTTGCTGGTGTGCATGTTCTAATGGGGTACAGGGGTGGTCCTCGTTTGGGAATCAAATACAATGTGTTCGGGTAACATAACTCCCGAACGTATAAAAAAGAGAATTAACGAAGGGAACGGTACGTTCCGCCACAATTCTATCTCAGCACATTTCCATAATTTGCTCTTTTCCAGGGCCAATCATCTTATTTACATAAAAATCACTAATTTCACAATCACGTACAACCTTTCACACATATCTACAAAACAAAAAAGGTAAACCCAGCAGGTCACAAAAAGAGGGAAGTTCCAAGATGGCAACCCGATTTCTCTTTGGATCAACAAACTGCTGATAATGATCATATTAAAGGGACACGGTGGGCACTCAGACCACTTTATCTCATTGAAGTGGTCTGGTCTGTCCCCTTAACCCTGCAGTTTAAAACACTGCAGGTGCAGAGAAACTGTTGTATTTATTGCAGGGTTAAGACTGCCTCTAGTGACTGTCTGCCTTCCTGCAGTTTCGTGGAGTTTGACTCTGTGAAACGACACTGGACACGTTTTACATGAGGATGTCTAGCGTCTTCAAACCCACCATAGGAGAACATTGAATAAATGTTTTCCTATGAGGAAGTCCTAACATGGTGTTAGCTGCACATTAGGTTCCCCCTCGGCACTGATGGTGGAGAAAGCAGAGAAGGAGCCAGTGCCGCGGGACCTCGATACTGTAATATGGTGAGTGCAAAAAGAATTATTAACCCTTCATCTGCCTGCGGGGTGGGGGGGAATTCCCCAAGTCTCATTGTTTATTTCAACAAGAATCACAAAACCTGAATTGTGTAATTAAATAGGTGCTAAAATGCCCTTGGATTTTTTGAAGAACACAATATTTTTCTGGTAGCAACATTTAATAAAACCATTAATTATTTCATGTATTTAGAGAGACTTTCCAGTAAACCACTTCAGGCCGGGCCTCCCATTCACAAGCTCCAAAGTAAGTTAGAACCTGTTGTTCTTAAATGACCCCTTTTACCGTAATGCAAATCATTACTTGATAAAAATTTCCAAAACCATTCCTGAATTGGCAGGGGAGGGGGGCAAAGCTGACGGGAACTAGGAGTGCCAGTAAACAAAAAAAAAAGAAAGAAACATAACAGATAATGGTTACGAGATAAGGACAGTTAACAAACTGGCCTATAGACTTATCAGAATGGTGACCTCTAGATATGACTCCTGGGATGAACACGGCCTATAAATACAACTGTCCTAGAGCAGGTAGGAATGCATCAGCAAGTTCAGTGTGAAACTACAGGACAGATACGGACACCTTACAGACAATCTCGGAGATCATCCCAGAAGAAATATCATGAAGTATCAAATTCTGTGTGTGCTAATTCTTCTCTCAGCGTTCTCCAGTAAAGGCCACTGTGCTTCCCTGAATGGGGTATGTATGTTATATACAGGTTTATAGGTTTTTTTTCAGAATTGAATTTTATTTACATATATTATAATCATTGTACGTATGTTTTATGTTTTATATATTGTTTATTTTTGTGCTATCTCTAGGGCTGCCTAAACTCAAAGTAATAGACAGGTTTTTGGACAATGTATGTTTAAAATAATCTAAAGTTTACAGTTCTCTTTAAAGAAATTATTTTTCTTTGCACTTATACACAGGAATTCAGGCAATGCACTTACTGTTTTACCTATATGCATTTTAATCAATACATTCTTTTATATTTTAAAATAGAATCAAATAATGAATTCTCCTGACCACATCACCGAACCACAGATGGAGGAATCAAATATCATGGTGAGCTTAAAAAATATGCTGTCTGTTGTGATTTACTCTAAAGACAACGTTTTATTTGCAGGGTTATGAAAGACTAGTGGTATAGTATGTTTGATGTTGAAGATTCATCATTAGTATTATATTTCCCAACCACCACTCATCATAAAATATCCCATCAAAACAAAATATCAAAGGCGTGATTCTTGTTTCTTATTTAACGATTGGGTTCTCAAGGTACCTCTCTGTAGGTGCAAATGGGCAAAATGAGGGCAATTCTAGAGCAAATTACTAAAGCTGGAGCAATCTCCGTGGAAACCATTGAGATGTACGTCCTGATTAGTTTTAGCACATTCTTAAAACTGTTTTAGTTTTTGTCATGACAAACAATGCTTTAAGGTTTAGGTGTTGTTCAATTTATAACTTGTTGCATGTTGATTAAAAAAAACTACCCACATTGCCGAGATGCTGAGATATGTTGAGAATTTCCGCAGTGTTCTAGAAATGTTACCGTATGCTTGTCTTTTTTACACTTTGCAAACTTTTTGTAAGATTAGCGCAACTCACTACGTAGGGAGAAACCCTATGGCAGGGGTTCCCAAAAGGTAAATCCCCAGATGTTTTAAAACGTTGTCATTCTAAAAGCATTCTAAAGGCATACAAGGTATCATGGGGTTGTAGTTCTACAATATCTGGGGGATCTACCTTTTGTGCAGCCCTGCTCTATATTTTTATTCTAACAAACCCACCATTTGACAATTTGTTAGTGACTCTGCGAGTTGCTACAGTTATATAATTAGAATGTCACCATTTGAATGCTTGTCAATTTCTATTTAATAAAAACAAAACATTAAACTACGTCCTATTTCTTTTGTTTAACTAGGGCTCCTTACTCAGGACAAAGCGTCAATCTCATCTTTCCATCTGCACCTATTGCTGTAACTGCTGCAAAAGAGGCAGAAACGGCAAAAGCAAAGGCTGTGGCATGTGCTGTCTGACCTAAAACTATTGTCTACAACCCGAATTTCTTGGAATTCCCAAAACGAACTCTCTAAAACCAGGAACACAAATAGAAGCACTGATCCTAATGTTTTATCCATTGATCAATCTATGCAATAATCAATCCCAGCATGCAAGGGGTTAAGAGATAGGTGAACTTTTTAGAAGACAACTTTGAACCATCTCGGAAGCTGAGATAAACTCTGTTATTATTTTTAGATCCTAATTCCGTCGGTATTGCCTTATTTATCTTTTTACAAAATAAGTTTTCTTTTATATCATAGTGTGTGTGTAATGTGTTTTACTTTGTACATGCTAATATGTATTTTATTCTCCTATATTTAAATACATGTAATATTTATTCATTATACACTAGCTAATCTCACGTTATACTACATCTACGTGAATGAAGTCTAAGATATTTGAATCAGAAATATTTTGTTTTATTTGATGTGGACCAGAGATGTTTTGTCTTGAAAGCTGTATTCCCTAATTTTTTTTTATTTTTTCTAAATAATTCATCTACAGGCTCTCTCAGAACATTATGTCGCAAAACATATCTTTACAGGAAGCCTCCAATACACCTGAGTCCAACTACTCAGCTATGTAGCCTTAATTTTGAAAGCCCATTTTTGTAAACTTATTTCTACTTGTCATTTATTAAATAGACCCATATGCATTTATTCCTACTGTGCGTAAGGAAATAAAAGCTGGGATTTAATTTTATTTCCTTCAAAACTAGAATCGAACAGTGGACTGTTATACTACTGAATCAAGAACAAACTCAGATTGTTAGTCTTAAACTGCCTGGTAATAAAGACACGAAAATAAATGTTTGGAAGGTTAAAGTCTTAAAGAAATGCTAGTCAGGAAATTTGTGATACTTTTTTTTGTATGAAGTGTATTTGTGTTTAATAAATCTGAAATTTGTAAAACGTATTCTGTATTGAGTGTGAGCAGATTGATTTAAAACGGGTTTCATTTTTAAGTAGATGCGGTATACAAGACAAATTTTCTTTGTATTTAAAAAATATGATGAAATGGGTAAATTTCAGAAACATTAAAAAAAAACGATCAGAGAGTTTATACATTACACTACGAATTGTGGAAAGCTGACAAGGAAATAGCTATTTTTCAATTAGAATATTTGGGTGGATAATGCATGGAGTGGACAGCTATTTCTCAATGTAACGGTCATTCAGTCCCAAGTCCTTCTTTAGCTTGTAGGGGGGATATGATAGAAACATTTAAATACATAGAAACATAGAAACATAGAATGTGACGGCAGATAAGAACCATTCGGCCCATCTAGTCTGCTCAATTTTCTAAATACTTTCATTAGTCCCTGGCCTTATCTTATAGCTAGGATAGCCTTATGCCTATCCCACGCATGCTTAAACTCCTTTACTGTGTTAACCTCTAGCACTTCAGCTGGAAGGCTATTCCATGCATCCACTACCCTCACAATGGCATGAGCACTTTCCTCAATACAGTAAAGGAGGAGACTATATTTAAAAGAAGAAAAACTACCACAACAAGAGGACATAGTCTTAAATTAGAGGGGCAAAGGTTTAAAAATAATATCAGGAAGTATTACTTTACTGAGAGGGTAGTGGACGCATGGAATAGCCTTCCAGCTTAAATGGTAGAGCCTCTCAGGGTGGCTCCCAGGGCTGGTTGACAAAATTTGGCTGCTGATCTTAAAGGGGTCCAACCCTACTGGGTCCCTGATCAGAACTGCCTGCCTATGGGTATATCCGATGTAGCTGGTGTGGATACCATTAGGACAATTTAGAAATAAGGACTCGTTGCTTACCCCGGCTGAATTAGATTAAAAAGACACAGTACATACAAATAACAACACGTCGAAGGTCTCGTTAATAGCGTTATTCTTACACCAGACAAAGCAGAACTTTAGTAATGAACATTTATTATAAAACAATAGTCAACAGTCAATAGACTAAGGAAGAAATAAACAGAAAACTCCAAATACTCACTGTGCTATTAAAATACCAGTATTTATGTCCAAAGAGAACCTTTGGTAAAGAAATGGCAATTTATTACAAATTCAATTTAGCAAACAAAATAGATTACAATGTCTTTTTGTTTTTTTTGGAGATTGCATACACTTTTAAGTTTATCTCAGCTTCTAGGTTGACTCTTGTGCGGCAAGACAAAGGGCGCAGAGTTCCCAATATTATGAGCGGCGATTAATGTACTCTAAACCCGGCTGAATATGGTCAATGCAATATATTTTAGTGCAGGTTGTTCTGATCTCTTTCTAATCAGGTCTGATCACCTCTGCGAATCTAGATCAGGGGTAGACAATCTTTAGCACTCCAGATGTTGAGGACTACATATCCCATAATGCTCTCACAGTCAAATAGTTGCCAAAGCATCAGGGGAGATGTTGTCTACAACATTTGGACTTTCCAAAGGTTGTCTACCCCTGGTCTAGACAATTAATTGTAGACCAAACATTAATACATAATGTCCGCAAAATAAAATTATATCTAAAAACACTTCCTATACTTTAATGAATCCTTGACTTCACAAATCTTCATTGAAATTACAAAGTACATAATTAGATGTGTTAGTCCATTCATAGCTTTGATCTGTGCAATACCGTGGTGATTTTACAACAATTCACTGCTTAGTGAATAACCCTTTAAGATTTTAATTTCAATCAGTTGCTATGTGTTAATGTGTCTTGCATCTGTAGACCTCTCCATACAATTTTCAGGATAGAGCCGTGTGTTGGTGCCACAAGAAACTCAGAGAAGAACTAGAGCTCCCACTGGTGGTAACACATGTTACAGCACCTGGCTTCTGTAAAAGGGACCCATACTATCTCAGAATATCGCACAAACAAATATCCCATTCAATATCACAAGAAGTGCCAATAAAAGCAGTTTTATTGCTCCAATAACAAAAATAAAAGCAACAAATCTGCCACCAGTACCAGTATCTGTGAGAAAAAGAGGGGGGAGGGCGGGAAGACTAGACAAAATTCCGCTAAGCTGTAAGGATGAATGCGTTTCACGTCTGAAACAACGCTTTATCAACATGTTAAGGTGATATTCTGCTGGCTGAACATATTTATCTTATTGGATATACCTGAGTTACCTGTACAATGTAGGGTCTGTGAGATGATCTTGGCTGCTATATGTTGCTTTATATCATATTTTTGAGCTGTAAACCTATGCCTTTATGAGTACTTTCTGTGATATTAAATGGGGCAGTTGTTTGTTCGGTATTCTGAGATATTATATGCCTACGTGTAAAAATGGAACCATAGGACCGGCACCGACTTACTTCTCTTAATGGGAACACACTAACTATGACCAATGGCTCATCATTTTCAACAAATTATCCACTTGTTGAAGTTGCAGCAATTAGGTTACAGGAAGGGCCAGCGCTACCTGTTAGGCGGACTAGGCAGCCGCCTAGGGTGCCCCCTGGTAAGGGGCGCCACCAGGAGCGCCGGCCCCCCTCCTGCTGCAGCTGCCAGAGCGCTCTGTAGAGAGCCTCAGGCGGCTGCAGCTTTGCCCAGGCTGGTGCGTCCATGAGGGCATACCGCACCGCCCGGGCGCAGCACGAGGAGAGGGGCTGACAGGAGGGAAGTGCTCAGCGCTCCCTCCTGTCACTCTCTCACTGTAGCGTGGCCGAGTTCTGTATGGTCCGCGGGTACAGGGAGCATCTGTCACCTGTACCCAGCCGGACTAACTCTGAGTGTGCACTTCCTTTTAGTCCGGCCGGGTACAGGAAACAAAAGCTCCCTGTACCCGCTCGGCCATGCTACAACAGTGGTGGAGGGGGGTGGGAGGATATAAAGAAATGGAGAGGGGGGGAGAAAGAAATTGGGAGGGAGGGGAGAAGGAAATTGCAGGAGGGGGAGGAAACTGACAGGGGGAGAAGAAGAAAATTGGTGAAGGGGAGAAGCAAACTGGAGGGGGGGTAGAAGAAGGAAATTGAGGGGGGAGAAGGAAACTGGAGGGGGGGAGAAGGAAGGGGGGAGAAGGAAAGAGGGGTAGAAGGAAATTGGAGGAGGGGGGGAGAAGGAAAGGGATGGGAGAAGGAAATTGATGGGGGAGATTGACATCCATCACACACACACAATCACACACAATGCACCCCTTGCACACAGAAAAACACACAATGCATTACACACACAGACACACATACACAAGCAATGCATCCCTTACACACACAGAAACACACAATGCATTCATTACACACACTCAATGCATCCCTTACAGACGCACACAGAAACACACCTTGCAGCCCTTACACATACAAACACAGATTCACACAATGCATTCCTTACACACATATCAGGACATCCCCTACACACTCCACCCCCTGTGAACAAACTCATTGGTGGAACATGAAGGTGGACCCTGGGACCCAGACCTTGAGCTGTGTAAAGGGCCCCCAAAAAATGGAGCTGCTTCCCGTTCTCCAAGAACATTGATTTTTGTGACCACAGTTACAAACCGCCTCCAGAGAGCCTGTTCTACACCAGACCAGTGAAGCCAGACTGCAGCCAGAGACCATCATCATCCTCATCTGGTTGTAAGTAGGCAATCTAGTATATTATTCGTGGCACTAATCTCCAATTTACCTCACATTAAAGAAACACTATAGTCCCCAGAACCACTGCAGCTTAATGTAGTGGTTCTGGTGTCTATAGCCTGTCCCTGCAGGCCTTGTAATGTAAACACGGCGGCACTGCAGCACTGGCGTTAGTTAACATGGCAGATCATATGGGTGGGGCATTGTGATGTCACATGGGGGGGGCGGCGGCAAACTTTACTTTTGCCTAGGTTGGCAAAAATCCTGCCCTGGTTACAGGAAGGGTTTAATTATCCCTTGTACTTTGGACATTTTATTCTGTAATAGTAAACAAGCCTAAGGATTCCGTTCAGGTGTGCCTGAGATATAAGATGTTTCTTATCTTTACATTGTTTACATCCCACAACCTACGTTAAGCCACTGTTATAATGGCGTCATCTGCTGGAAAATATATCCATAAACATCCGAGAACAATACATCAAAGTAAACAAACTACTAAAGTATTTATAGTGAATAGAAGTATTAAACCAAGCGAAGGGAAGAAAAGGGTTCAGGGAATACTTGATTCAAGACATAAAATCCTGAAATACCCACAAACGGCCATCCTGGCTTACAAGTTAAACAGATTGAGAGAACTGTGTGCTGTTGGGACGATATAAAACGGCCGTAGCAATTTAACGGGCTGCACACAGCTGTATTGACTGACAGTTCTGAGTGATACCTTAAGTACTGAGTGATACCTGGGATTCCCCAGGCAGTCCCTGCTGGTTAGAATCCACATTGGGAAAAGAATGGATGGTTTTATTGCTTCTACATGAGAAGCGTTTCAATGGGGAATGCAGCAAGTGCTGAACATGCGCCTTATGTCTCCAATACTTATCTATGAGGGATTGAATTAGAAAAAAGTCAGCATTAAATGAACACTATAGGGTCAGGAACACAAAGGTGTATTTCTGACCTTAGAGTGTTAAAACCACCACTAAGGCTGATTGTCCCCCTCTCCCCCAGCTCCTTTAGTAAGGGTTAAAACTCACCTTAATTCCAGCTCTCCATGGGTCTGCATGCCTTGGTCTGGCCCCCGATCCGTCTCTCTGGCTGACAACAGCGAAATTGTTGATGTCAGCCAATTTAATGCTTTCCGAGAGGGAAAGCATTGGATTGGCTGAGATTGTCAAGGGAGCGTGGCCAAACATTCCCCAGGCCAATCAGCACCTCCTCATAGAGATACATTGAATCAATGCACTTCTATGATAAAAATGTTCAGTGTCTCCATGTATCTGAAGATCTGAGGATTGCCCACTGAATGTATCCCCAGGGGGCAATGTAAACACTGCCTTTTCTCTGAAAAGGCAGTGTTTGAATGAAAATGCCTGCAGGGACTGACTATAGTCACCCGAACAACTACATTAAGCTGTAGTTGTTCTGGTGACTTTAGTGTCCCTTTAATGATCAGTGTATCAGTGGCAAAGTGACTTCAAGAAGACTGATGGAGTATTGAATACAGTAATAAATGTTAGTTTAAAAGCTTTTATTTTTAAATCAAACACTAACATAATACCATACTAACACAAACACTAACATTATATATATATATAATACAATGTTAAACAAAAATCTGCACACATTTACTCCTTTCAAATATTTTTAATGGCTTGTCTTAAACTTAAAAACACAATTCTCTCTCTTTCTCTCTCTATGTATACAGGGCCGGATTAAGAGCACAGTGGGCCTGGTGCTGACAATAATGATGGGCCTAATTACGGAATCTTATCGACCAAAAACACTAAAACAGTCATACCTCCCAAGCGTCATGTATCTGATGGAGATGGTGCTGGAGGGAAACTCATAGAATGCAGCTATAAGAAAACACATACTCTATGCTAATTTCTCTCTAATTTATGCTTTCATCTTTCAAGTAAATCCATAACCCCTAACAGCAGTGTCCAGTGAAGCAGGAAGTCAATGGGCGGGGTAAAAGGGTGTGCCACTGGAGCGAATCACGTGACAAGATCTGCCAAAAAGGGGGCATGTCAGGCTGCCTGCCAATCCTGCAGGCTGTCCAACTAAGGGCATACTATGCAGGCAGCACATTGAGCTTGACATAAATGCGTCTAATAATGCGCTCACTCCATGCTTTCCAAGGACTTTCCCCTAGCACTCGCTGGTCCACTTGTCTCCTTACCTTCTTACTAGCAGGCAGAAGTTCCTGGTATATAGTCTGAGACAGAGAAAAGGTGTATGTAGTGAGTGTAGAAGAAAGGGGACATGCCTCAGAGACCAACATCAGCATTACCTAAACTAATTTTAATGTCAGCCAGCCACACAAGTTTTGTTCCCATGCATCCCTCTTAAGCTTCCAAACTTAAAGGGACACTATAGTCACCAGAACAACTACAGCTTATTGTATTTGTTCTGGTAAGTAGAAGCATTCCATTCAGGCTTTTTGCAGTAAACACTGTCTTTTCAGAGAAAATAACTCCATTGGCCGCTCCTTAGATGGCTGCTAGAGGTGCTTCATGGGGCAGTACTGCCTAGTCTGCAGCACTGCCATTCAGTGTCTCCACCCTCTGCACGCAGACACTGAACTTTCCTCATAGAGATGCATTGATTCAATTTATCTTTATGAGGAGATGCTGATTGGCCAGGGCTATGTTGGACTTGTGCTGGCTCTGCCCCTGATCTGCCTAGTTGACAGTCTCAGCCAGTCCTATGGGGAAGTATTGTAATTTGCTCAGACCACCACTTCTGAGCCAGCAGCTGCAGAATTTAATACAAGTAATATTTTACTATATTTAGGGAGGCAAGAAGGGGCCAGGGTGGTGGTTTTAACATAATAGGGTCAGAAATACATGATTGTGTTCCTGACCCTATAGTGCTCCTTTAAGCAAGAGTATGTGAAGAGTAATTAAGGTTGCCACCTTCTTGGAAAAAAATACCAGCCTTAATCATTTGTATAATTAATTAGTTATGCGTGTAAATCACAAGGAGTGACATCAGAGAAAATTCTGTAAAATCACCAACAAACTACTCACAGTTTGATTCTGCTGTATAGATGGATTGCTCCCAGTGTCTCCCTGTCTCCCAGTGTCTCAGTCTATCAAGTCACCCAGTGTCTCAGTGTCCCTATGTATCACAGTGTCAGTGTCCCCATGTCCCCTAGTCTCCCAGTGTCTGTGTCCCCATTTCTCCCAGTGTCCCCATGTCACTAGGATGCTGGGCACACTGAGAGACATGGGGACACTGAGAGACCCGGGGACACAGAGACATGGGGACACAGAGACATGGGGACACTGACACTGGGAGACATGGGGACACTGAAACATTTGGGGACACTAAGACACTAGGGACACAGGCATGGTGTTATGGTGGGATGGTGGGAAAAAATTGTGATAGAAAACACCTTCCATCTGAAGTCTGTGGATAGTTAATACAATGTTAAACAAAAATCTGCACACCAGTCAAGCCATGAGACCTGCTTTTGCCACAGAAATCACAAATTTGCAGTGATGTTACTACCGCAAAGGATTCTGGGTGGGCCAAAAATTTGATTATTTGTTAAACAAATTTGCATATGCCCACCCAGAATCCTTTGCGGTAGTAACATCACTGCAGATTTGTGATTTCTGTGGGAAAAGCAAGTCTTATACCTTGACTGGTGCGCAGATTTTTGTTTAACATTGTATTAACTATCCACAGACTTCAGGTGGAAGGTGTTTTCAATCACATTTTTCCCCACCATAACACATTTGGATTTTGCTCTCTCTCTCTCTCTCTCTCTCTCTAAAAACTTAAAAACACAATTCTATATACCATATATATATATATATACATAGAGAGAGAGAGATAGAGAGAATTGTGTTTTTAAGTTTGTTTAAGACAAGCCATTAAAAATACTTGAAAGGCCAAAATATTAGACTTGCAAAGAAAATGTAAAGGATGCTACATTCTCTCTCCCCTTTTCTCTATTTCTTTAATTTATTTATTGATTGATGTATTTCTTTTATTTATATACAATAGTATAATAACTGGATTTATGGTATATGGGCTTAAAGTGTGTGTAATAAGAAAATTCATTTTTTGTTTGTTTATTGCAATGATATCCTATGTACATATATATAATACCTATGTATATTATCCAATTCCAATAGATATGTAGAGGGAAAATCTCAGACAGGGTCAAATGGAAAAGATGTATTCATTTTTTAAGTTGCTTTACTAAGCTAGTCTGGCAGCGATGTATCCTGGGTAAACAGGTCTCGTAAAATTGAGGCGTTCTCTCAAAGGTTAAAGTCACACTGGGTGCAGTCTTACTTTAGATTCCAATATTCTTCGCAGTTAGTTATTAAGTGGTTGAACAAGTGACATTATGTAGAAAATGAACAGAATGAGAGCAATAGATATGGTTCCACCGGTGTAGCTGTAACAAGACAAGGTAGGTCTATATATCGTTGTATGATCTGTACTGGGAGAGCAGTACATCAGATTGGGTGTTTGGGGACTGCTGTAGAATGATGCAGCAGAGTAGCACCTGCTGGACTGGTGTTGGGACTGTGCAAATATCTTTTAGGTTCGCGTCCAGTTGGACAACATTTGATGGAAATCTTCCCCTTTAGTAAACGACTCTAGAGGCAGAGTAGTGGAAAAGCAAATGTTTAAATTTACCTCGCAACTTAAATGCGACCTCCATAAAGAACTTAATAACATGAGAGATTTTATATAAATTAGGTTCTTCCAAAAAAGAAGGAAACTTAAGAAATTATATCAAGTGAAAAATATTTATGTGAAAGCCAGGCGATAGTGCTGTGAAACTCACAGCTTTATAGATACACTATGAGAATCTGATTTATGTCTCTACGCAATGAGTATCTGTGTGTATGTATGATGAGATAATCTGCTGAATCTGTATGTTGACACCACAACAAGAAAGTGTTTTTGCACGTAGACACTCAGCAGGACCTTTGATCATATAATTATATTACTAGCAAAGACAAGAGTGTGACAGTAGTAATGAGGAACGCCTTCTGGGAAGTTATATAGGTGGTTGATCCTACTGGGGTGTCCGGAAGGATAGCAAGTGTTATCACAAAGCTTTGGATGGACTGGAAGTGTCGGACGATGGTCATCAGCATGGGATAACTGGCATGCTATGACTAAACGAAATGTTACATATTCTTCAAAAACACTTAATAAAAACACAAACAATACTTCTATGAAAAACCCTACCATACATTTTTAAATGCAAATGATTTATTAAATACCCCAAATTTTAAGTAGAATAAAAAAAGGAAAGAAAGCATAAAGAAAACATGTACATAACATTTTCATCTTTTCTATGGATGTTCAATCACAGTTCATTGTTTATCAAACATTGTGTCAAAAGTCAGTAATACCGTGTTTCTCCGAAAATAAGACCGGGTCTTATATTAATTTTAGTCACAAAAAACTCACTAGGGCTTATTTTCAGGGTAGGGCTTATTTATTTACGGTACCGGTATGTACATTGAACCCCCCCTTTAATAAATCCACCCCCCTCTAATTAATCCACCCCCTCTAATTAATCCAGCCCACCCTTTAATTAATTCACCCCCTCTAATTAATCCAGTCCACCCTTTAATTAATTCACCACCCCTTTAATTAATTCACCCCCTCTAATTAATCCAGTCCACCCTTTAATTAATTCACCCTAATTAATCCAACCCTTTAATTAATTCACCCCCCTTTAATTAATTCACCCCCCTCTAATTAATCCAGCCCACCCTTTAATTAATTTCTAATTAATCCACCCCTTTAATTAATTCACCCCCCTCTAATTAATCCAGTCCACCCTTTAATTAATTCACCACCCCTTTAATTAATTCACCCCCTCTAATTAATCCAGCCCACCCTTTAATTAATTCACCCCCCTTTAATTAATTCACCCCCCTTTAATTAATTCAATAAATCCCAGACATAAAATATCTAGCAGTACTCACATTTCAAAGATTCCTTGCCGAGTCCGACCACTGGGAGCCTCACCGCCCGGAAATGGATCCTTCCGCTGAAGATCCGTGAAGGCAGACTGACGGCGCTGCAAAATGTCGTCATCACGTTGCGCGACGCTCCTCCTACAGCAGAAGAAGGAAGTCTCGCCGCAAAGGTACAATGCCTAGGTCTTATTTTCGGGGTAGGGCTTATATTGCAGCCCACCCCGAAAATCCGACTAGGGCTTATTTTCGGGGTAGGGTTTATTTTCGGGGAAACACGGTATGTGGGAATATACTGGGAGTAGGTTTGTTAGAGTGGGAACCAAATCTCTGTGAGATTATTTTAAATAATGGTGAACTTACAAAAACGATCCCTTTTGAACATATGTCGAACAGCAATGCACAAAAACATTGTTCTAAATGTCCTATTTTGTATATCTTCCTTAAAGCAGCACTTCCAATTGTACTGTCTTTATAATTTTGTCAAGACCCCCCAAAGTGACATGTCAACTTCAATAGTAGCAGATGAGGGGCAAATAATACGAGACAAAAACTTAGCTGACACTCTTGCTCATCAACATCAACATGTTGACCTTCAGTTTGTTTTTACCTCAGTCATCTACCATGCGCCTGTGCCATTTTTGTACACTTGCTTGTGTACGAGAGTACAACATTTTGGTCCATAGAGATAGCATTGGTTACTTCATATATCTTGTTTGCGCATGCACAATAAGATGCCATAAGCTTGTATTTCATATCTTGAGAAAACATGCCTGTTCTCATCAGGTTTCGGAAGTGACAAGAAACTCACGGGAATAGGGCCTTCAACTCCTCTTGTATTTGTTTGGCAAATGTTGTATTGTCCCTTAGATGTATTGGAACTCTGTCTTTTTACTTACACCGATTATACCCTTAGACAGAGGTGCAGAATGTGTTGGCGGTTTATAAATAAAGAATAAGGACTATAATGAATTAGTAACATACTGCGTTTTATACGTTTGTTCTGACTGCCTTCAAATTCCAAATAAAGTCTAACGCAGTCTATACAAATTCCATAAAGTCACAGTGCAATTTTATATGACTGAAACACTGCTGAAAATGTATCACATATGTTTAAATAATCCCCTTCCATGCTGAGGTACCTATATTGTATAAGCAAGAGCGTTGATCTCAAGCTGTTGCTGCTGATAGGCCAATGATGATGTAAATGTAACCATAATCACATCATTTCAATAGTTTTAAACACTTTTTAACTATCAATTTGGCAAAAAAGGACCAAAGCCTTACGTTAAACAGTCAGGTTTAACTGATTACAATCATTCTGAAGTTTAAATATGGAGAGAAATAACTCAACTATTGACATTTATTGAATTCAACACCAGAAATACTTGAAATCCACAGGAAATACATTTCAAAATGTTTACTCATTAGCAGAACAAACACCACAACCACCTACCCTGAATTGTATGTATACCTAATACAAAATTAAGTAAAAATAACATGTTGAAAATGGGAACAATGGAAAAGCGGTTTTAACATCTTTGTTTATATATATTATTATGTAGCCCGTGAAGTTACACAGGCTGCATTATCTGAAATGCCCAGTAGATGGCACATGGACTCAGTATGCTGTTAATAAAACATTGAGCTTTGATCACATGACTTGCTGAAATCAAGAGAGGAGTGTGGCATCATCGCAGGGCCTGTCAGGACTTCCTGCACAGCTCTGAGGGAGGAGGATTCTAAGAGTGACCACATGCTGAGCCAGAGAGAGGACATGTGAGAGACTGTAGCACAGAGATAGGGCCTGGCTGAGAGAACTTGTTTCACCCAAGATCACACCAGCTGAGAGAGGGACCTGCAGGAAAGGAAAGAAGACAAGCACTGAGTCCAGACGTCTGGCGAATCCAGTGAGAGGAGACTGCTGCTGACTGACTGGTTAATCGTGTTGAGAGGGTAAGCCAAGCCTCTCCCTGTATCGCCACAGGGCACCTGTCTCCTCACTCACAGTAAAGACTCTGAGGTCCCGTGACAGACATTACACATCTGAGGCTGCTTCAGTGACCCTGCGGAGCAGGACTTATAAGGGCCCCAACTCTCCTATGTGCACCAACGGCCGCTAGGGCGAAGATAAGGGGGTGGGGCGCAGGTGTGCTGGTGGGTGAGTGAGGGAAATCCACATTTGCCTTGTTATCTGTGTTACTCTATTGTATTTTCCTATGTATGTTGGTTCAATTGCTACTTACCATATAAAGTTAGTCCCAGTTAGACTGTGTCAGTCTCATTGCACCAAGTATGTTCCCAGTGGGACCCCACATCCCTACCCCGGATGCTCCACTGGGTGGAGGCACTGCCGCAGACATGTACCCCAGCTCCCAGATAGCGGAGGCTCAGGATCCGCCTGTCAGGCATAGTGAGTTAACTAGGTTTGGGGACCCCAAAGACACTAGGGGGCACCCCCAAAACCCCGTTACAGATGGAGGCACTGCTGAGATGTATTGGGGTACAACCAGTGAGAATAGGTTAAGTCCTCAGGCCACTCCCTCCTTTGTGAAACAGTGGGCCCAGCAAAGAAATGTACCATTACAGCAAGCTGTGATGTTATGCAAAGTCCCATCCTGCTGTGAGATGAATCACGTCATCTTGTGTATAGAAATTCGACTGGGAATAGAAATGGCGACCATCAGAGATATCCTGCAGGATTCTGAAGGCCAAACTTACATGTTAATATATTGTCATACGGGCTTGGGAGACCATGAGATGCCTACCAACATTCATTTACATGGAGCCCCGGATGGAGGATGCTCCTTAGTGTACGCTCTCCTTGATAAGAAAGAAAGGGTCTCACTGCAACAACCCTTTAAATTAGAACGGAAAGATTATGTCACAGAAAATTATTCTAAGCTCCTGACCCCCATCTCCGGAAAGGCCGGAGCCATTCCTAAACAAGCTGCCCATCCTCCTAGAGGACAGGGGATGATTACTCCTAAAGCAGAATCTCATCCATCTACAGCATTACTGAAACCAGACAACCCTGAAGTACACACCCTCCCTACAGGAGGTAGTGATGTATCGGACATACTACAGAAACTCTCAGAAGCCATAGTGACGGCAAACCACACCCATAGTTACCACAAACTAAAGGTGTTTTCTGGGAATCAGCCTGTTCCTGCAGGAGAAGAGCCTTTTGAGGTCTGGAAGGATAATGCTATGCAGTTGTTGGAGGAATGGTCTTGTACGGATACCATAAAGAAACAGCGGTTGGTGGAGAGTCTTCGTTTTCCCGCTACAGACATGATAAGACTGTACAAGGGAGTAAATGGGCAAGCTACTGCACACGACTATCTACAAGTCTTACAGGATGCTTATGGGAAATCAGAAGATTTGGATGATCTGTTGGTTAAGTTCCTAGCCACTAAGCAGAAGGAGCACGAAAAAGCCACTGACTATATCAACCGGTTACAGCTATCGCTTGGAAAGTTATTCCATAAAGGAGCAGTCACTGTCCCTGAGTTGGATGCTCGGCTATCTAAGCAAATTCAGAGAGGTGGTTTGACCAGTAATCCAGTTATGATTCTGCTGAGAGCCAAGTTGGATGATAAAGTTCTGCCTTATTCCACATTAATAAATACAGCCAGGAGATTGGAAGACCAGATGTGTCCACCCCTACAGAAGGAGAAAGAGAATACAGAACTGTCAGCTCTTAGGAAGAAGGTGGCTGAATTGGAGCTTTTATGCAAATCACCACCAGAGAGAGCAGATCTTCCCCCTGGAAGTGGGGGGCAACACAGGAAGACTCAGAAAAAGCTGTTTCCTGAGGATTCACCCCGCCGAGGGAACTGCTTTAAATGTGGAAAGTCAGGGCATTTTCAGCGGGAGTGCCCTGCGGATTCCATGGAGGTGGATGTGGGGGTGCTGGCAACCGAGCTCGGGGAGACTCAAATGACCAGGTCTTACAAGCGAAGGAAGACCCGGCCTACATATAGTCTATCTGTAGGGGCCAAGATTGGGCCTAAATCTTTGATACACGTGCAAGTGGAAGGAATTCATGCTTCAGCATTGCTAGATACAGGTTCTCAAGTCACCATTATCTACAGAGACTTCTATGAACGTCATTTGAAACACATTCCTATGGAACCTGCAGGAGAGTTTCAGCTATGGGGCGTTGGGTCTCAAGCTCAACCTGTGGAGGGATGCATAAAAGTGACCATAACTATTCCCCAGTTAAATACCGGGATGATATGTCCTATGGAGCTGGAAGCTTTGATATGCCCTGCAGCCAAGAAAGTGTGTGCCCCAATAATATTTGGTACTAATGCAAAGATGGTACAGGATGTATTCAGGGCCTATCTGACAGAAGTGGGAGATGTCTCCTTAGACCGACTGATGGAGGTCAGCCCTGTCCTAGGAAAAGAGTGTCGACGACTAGCCCTTGCAACAAAACCAGGGTTGTGCCACTATTCAGGAACAGAACCTGCATTTGTGAAGCCTGGTGAGACCAAAACCTTACGAGCCATAGCCTCAATGCACCATGAAATGTTGGGGGGAACTGGACAATACCTTATTGAGTCTCTGCCTGAAGAGGATCAGAAGAAGGGGTGGACTCTCATACCTGAGATAAAAGATTGGCGAAAAAGGTGGTGTCGGAGTTTTCCTGTGATGGTACAGAATTTAACCCCCACGGAAATCCGGATTGATCGTCATCAGAAGATTGGTGTAATACACCTTTTAGATCAAGTTTCGTCCATCATGTCTGTGAGTGCAGAACAGACGGATCATGTGAAAGCACCTTTAGATTTTGATCTAGAAGATTCTCCCCTACCACAGCAGTGGAAAGACAGCCTTCGTTCAAAACTGGCCACCCGAGAGGGAGTGTTCTCCAGAGCAGAGATGGACGTGGGGTGTTCTAAGAGTGCCACCCATGCTATAAGACTTGCTGATCCTACTCCTTTCAGAGAAAGGTCAAGAAGAATACCCCCTCGAGATGTGGAAGATGTCCGGGACATACTCCAGCAGATGGAAGGAGCAGGCATCATCACAGAGTCCCGGAGCCCCTATGCCTCACCTATTGTGGTAGTGAGAAAAAAGAATGGTTCAGTTCGGCTATGTGTGGACTACCGTACTCTGAACAAGAGGACTGTGCCAGACCAGTACACCTTGCCCCGGATAGAAGATCTTCTGAACGCCCTATCTGGCAGCCAGTGGTTCAGTGTGCTTGACTTGAGGTCTGGATATTATCAGGTACCCATGAAGAAGGAAGATCAGGAAAAGACAGCTTTCATCTGCCCTTTGGGGTTCTTCCAGTTTACCAGAATGCCACAGGGAGTCACAGGAGCTCCTGCTACTTTTCAGAGGCTGATGGAGAAAACTGTGGGGGATATGAATCCCAAAGAGTGTCTAGTGTATCTAGATGACCTAATTGTTTTCGGGAAGACACCAGAGGAGCATGAACAAAGATTGCTAAAGGTGTTGGATCGACTTCAAGCTGAAGGCCTGAAGCTATCAGTGGACAAATGCCGATTTGCCCAGAACTCTGTCACTTATGTGGGGCACATAGTCTCCGCTGAAGGAGTAGCCACAGATCCTGCTAAAATTGAAGCAGTGCTGAATTGGCCAAGACCAAATAACATCGGTGAGTTGCGGTCCTTTCTCGGATTCTGTGGTTACTACCGAAGGTTCGTGAAAGACTACTCAAAGATTGCTCGAGAGTTACATGACCTGCTGAAGATTATCTCTGACGTAAAGGGTGTTAAGGCACCATATCCTAAAGACCCCTTTGGAGAGAAATGGACTTCAGGATGTGAAGATGCCTTTCTGACGCTGAAGAAGAGACTTACAGAAGCTCCTGTCTTAGCCTATGCAGACCCTGAGAAACCATATATCCTCCATGTGGATGCCAGTATGGAAGGCCTAGGGGGTGTACTGCACCAAAGTTATCCAGCAGGATTGAGGCCGGTGGCTTACATAAGTAGGAGTCTTACAGGTGCAGAGAAGAACTATCCAGTCCATAAATTGGAATTTCTGGCACTCAAGTGGGCCATGGTGGATAAGCTGCATGACTATTTGTATGGGGCAACATTCGAAGTAAGGACTGACAACAATCCACTTACCTACATCCAGACTACAGCTAAGCTGGATGCTACAGGACATAGGTGGTTGGCTGCCTTGTCAAACTACAGTTTCAGCCTGAAGTACAAGCCTGGGCCCAAGAATGTCAGCGCAGATGCCCTGTCCCGCAAACCTAGACTCCCCCCTCACCAAGAAGAAGAGGAGTGGGAAGAGATCCCTGGGCCGGGGGTAGGAGCCTTTTGTCAGATGTATGTGGTGGCCGAGAGTCAAGAAGAATTTGCCGAGCTAAGAGGGATAGACTCCATTAGCCACTCTCCCGAAGCTGTGCCTGAGGTGTTCCATGCTCCAGTCATGCTTCAACAGTGGTCCAGTATAACCACAGAAGACAAGAGGAAGGCTCAAGCGCAGGACTGGTATATTGGGATAGTTATCAGAGCAATAAAGACTAAGAATCCTAAATTGCTGACTTCTCTACCTGTGAATCAAAGAGAATTATACCGAAGAGAATGGAGCCGACTACATCTCGAAGATGGAGTACTCTATAGGGTCGTGAAGTATCATGATCACCCTGACAGAAAACAATTGGTACTACCGCACCGATACCGTGGCATGGTCCTGAGAGCTCTCCACGATCAACATGGGCATCTCGGGGTGGACAAGACCTATGGCCTAGTACAAGATCGGTTCTATTGGCCTCGCATGAGGGAACATGTCGAGCAACATGTAAAGACATGCAGGAGGTGTATCCAGAGGAAGACCCTGCCTGTGAGAGCTGCCCCTATGGGTCATCTGAAAAGTACGGGACCCATGGATCTTGTGTGCATGGACTATCTCTGCATTGAGGACGATACAGCGGGAATTGGAAATGTGCTGGTGGTAACGGACCACTTCACCAGATATGCTCAAGCTTTCCCCACTAAAGACCAAAAGGTTGTGACTGTAGCCAAAGTCCTTTGGCAGAAGTATTTTATTCACTATGGACTACCCAATCGGCTACACTCTGATCAAGGTAGAGACTTTGAGAGTAAGTTGATAAAGGAGCTGTTAGGCATGTTGCAGGTGCAGAAGTCCAGAACCACACCTTATCATCCGGAGGGTGATGCACAGCCAGAACGTTTCAATAGGACCCTCCTAGATATGCTAGGGACTCTCAAGCAAATCGAGAAGCGGTCTTGGAGTAAACATGTGGAAACCATGGTCCACGCATACAACTGTACAAGGCATGAATCTACAGGGTTCTCACCCTATTTCTTAATGTTCGGAAGAGAAGCTCGATTGCCGATAGATGTCCGGTTGGGAGTGTCTCCTGATGGAACAGATTCAACTTCACACTTTCAATATGTGAGGAACCTCAAACAAAACCTTCGTCGGGCCTACGAGTTGGCCACCCAAGCTGCAGCAAAAATGGAAGAACGGAACAAAAGAAGATATGATGCTAAGGTGAGATATCGGGAGATTCAAGCAGGGGATAAAGTTCTTCTCCGGAATCTAGGTGTGCCTGGAAAACACAAACTGGCTGACAGATGGAAAGATACCCTGTTTGAGGTTGTGTCCAAACTGGAAGGACTGCCAGTGTACAACATTCGGGGCCCGGAGGGCCGAATAAAGGCTTGGCATAGAAACCATCTGCTTCCAGTTGTGTATACTGATGAAGAGGAAGAGAGTAGTGAAGAACTGGAGGAAACCCCAGCAGAGAGTCCTGGAAATGGGGCAGAGGAGACCCCGGGAACTCCCAGTGCAGAGGATCAGTGGTGGTCATCACCCGCTGAAGAAACACAACAATTGCCTCCTTTAACTCCTGTGGTTTCACAAAGTCCCGGAACCTCTCCTGGGTCACAAAGTTCTCCAAGGTTGAATCCAGAAAGTCCCTGTTTTGTGCCTGGAACTTCCCTTAAAAACTCTACTTCGAGGGCAGGAGTCGAAGTTCCACAGTTGATGTCCCAAGATCCTCTCCCCCAGCGAGAACTGAGACACAGCACCAGAGTGCGGCAACCCCCTAGGGCCCTAGTTTATGATAATATAGGAGAGCCCAGTTATGCCCCGCTGACACAAGCAGCATTTAAAATGGCCACTTTCCTACATGCACTAGCTGAAGTGGTAAATGTTAGTGACTGTTTACCCTAAATAACTAGCTAGCTAGGATGTTACTGTGCGAACTGTACTGTAGGTATGCTAAACCTTTTTCTGTTGAATTTTTGTTAAGCTCCCTGGCTAGGACTTGCCAGTGGAAGGCAAGTATTTTCAAGGGGGAGCATGTAGCCCGTGAAGTTACACAGGCTGCATTATCTGAAATGCCCAGTAGATGGCACATGGACTCAGTATGCTGTTAATAAAACATTGAGCTTTGATCACATGACTTGCTGAAATCAAGAGAGGAGTGTGGCATCATCGCAGGGCCTGTCAGGACTTCCTGCACAGCTCTGAGGGAGGAGGATTCTAAGAGTGACCACATGCTGAGCCAGAGAGAGGACATGTGAGAGACTGTAGCACAGAGATAGGACCTGGCTGAGAGAACTTGTTTCACCCAAGATCACACCAGCTGAGAGAGGGACCTGCAGGAAAGGAAAGAAGACAAGCACTGAGTCCAGACGTCTGGCGAATCCAGTGAGAGGAGACTGCTGCTGACTGACTGGTTAATCGTGTTGTGAGGGTAAGCCAAGCCTCTCCCTGTATCGCCACAGGGCACCTGTCTCCTCACTCACAGTAAAGACTCTGAGGTCCCGTGACGGACATTACACATCTGAGGCTGCTTCAGTGACCCTGCGGAGCAGGACTTATAAGGGCCCCAACTCTCCTATGTGCACCAACGGCCGCTAGGGCGAAGATAAGGGGGTGGGGCGCAGGTGTGCTGGTGGGTGAGTGAGGGAAATCCACATTTGCCTTGTTATCTGTGTTACTCTATTGTATTTTCCTATGTATGTTGGTTCAATTGCTACTTACCATATAAAGTTAGTCCCAGTTAGACTGTGTCAGTCTCATTGCACCAAGTATGTTCCCAGTGGGACCCCACATCCCTACCCCGGATGCTCCACTGGGTGGAGGCACTGCCGCAGACATGTACCCCAGCTCCCAGATAGCGGAGGCTCAGGATAGTGAGTTAACTAGGTTTGGGGACCCCAAAGACACTAGGGGGCACCCCCAAAACCCCGTTACATTACATATCAAGATTAAAGGGACACTATAGTCACCTGAACAACTACAGCTTAATGTAGTTGTTCAGGTGAGATCTATAGCTCCCTGCAGTCAATCTAATGCAAACACTGTATTTTCAGAGAAAATACAGTGTTTACATTGATTGATAGGAATACCTCCAGTGGCCGTCACTCAGACGGCCACCAGAGGGATTTCCTATCATGCAGGGCCCTAAAAAGGCCTTGTACACGTTAGACGTATTAAAATACGTCTGACGTGTGCAGGAGAGAGAAGGCACTGTGTGCGCGCCTTCTCTCTTCTGCCTGTCAGCAGAGGAGAGGGGGCGGGCAAAGACCGGGAGCTGAGCTGTCAGTCAGCGTGGTAGTGCGCTCATTACTTCAGAGGGCGGCATGAATGCCGCCCTCTGAAGTATGTGCGCATGTACGGCGAAGGGAACAATGACGCATAAGGGAATAATGACGCTTCCAAATGGAAGTGTCTGATTGCTCCCTGCTTGCGCCCGCCTATTTCGTCATTTTGATGAAATAGGGGGCGTAGCTTTACGAGGCTCCCGGTGCTGGAACCAGGTGAGTAAACTTGTTTGCCTGGAGAGTCCCTTTAACTAAACAAAAACAACTCAAAATAGATTCACAAATTAGTCCTGATAGTTAAATGCCTCATATGTCTGGGATCTGAATTAATATTTAGTAGTTAACGCTAACACTATGCCAACCCTAAACTATGTCTAAACTAACTCTAACCATAAACCTACCTTAACCTTACCCCAAACTGTAACCACACACTATCCCTAACTCTAAAACATTAACCATAACTCAGCATTGATCCTTATCGCACAATAACACTAACCCTACACTAACACTAACCATTTACCTACCCTAACCTTACCCCAAACCGTAACCCCACATAATCCCTAACTCAAAAACACTAACTCTAACCATATACCTACCCTAACCTTACCCCAAACCGTAACCCCACATAATCCCTAACTCTAAACTAACATTACCCTAACCCCCCTGACATCAGGAGGTGTGTGTGGGGGGGGGAGGGAATGGGGATTTCCAAGCTCCAACAGCACAGAGCACTTTGTGAGCACCCTCTGCTGTGTGATTTCAGAATGCTGTCCCTGCTGAACAGACAGCAAGATGATATTGGCCTACAATTCCCAGAATTTATTGAATGCAGTAGAGGGCAATTGAATTATGGGAGTTGTAGTTCAGCAATAGTTGGGGTGCAGGGCAGAGTTTGGGATATCTGAATTAGGATCAGGCTCTTAGAATGTAACTAAATATTCAGTCAGTATTAATGCAAATGGCATGGAGACAATGTGTTTCACTTATTTTGCATATTTGACTGACCAAAAATGATGCTTGTGATCCAGGGCCAGTCCATCCTGGAGGGAATTTACTCTTGTTTTAGAATCGTCACTCTTTTTTATTGAGAAGGATGGCGGTTGCTAAAAAATAAATAAAGATTGACAAGAGCATCAAGAATTATTTACCTTGCCACTCAGGCAAGGAGCTCCTGGGGAAACAAAACGGCACAATGTAGAAACCAAATGAATTAACAAACCTACAATAATAAATGTTCACTTACAAAATGTGTTAGATAGAAGCCTCCAGATCTTTTATAGGTAAATAAGCATAATTTTAGAATGCTGGGTTAACACTAACACAGCCAAAACAGAAGATGATGGACAGGTATCCACCTATATACTCAAACAATGATACTCAGCTTGTGATTTTCTATCTCATTTTAGATGTCTCGGGATGCAGAATGCTTGCACCAGGTCAAGGCCTCTCGTTTGAAATTAACCGACTGGCTAGAAAATAATCCTCTTGTGGTCCTCAGGTGGCTCCATGCTGATGGAATTCTACCGCAAGATAAATATTTCTTTCTCCTGGATAGAAATCCACAGAGAAACCAAGTGATTTCTCTCTTGGAAACTGTGACCCAAGATGCGGAAATTTGCAAAGCATTCGTGCATGTGCTGCAGCAAGTACAGGAATATTACTGCCCGGATTTACATAATTGGCTGAAGGATAACTTTCCAGTCTATATCAAGGAGTCTACTGGTCCAATGGGTAAATCTAATGCCATTAAATAATGGTTCAAGCAACGTGTTCTTATATGCTTTTCAAGTTAGGAGAACTGAGCAACCACCCAGGCCGTGGCGTTAGCATTTTAATAGCTCCAGCGACTACATGGAATAGTGAAAAGTCACATTGCTAGAGACATTCATTCTACCAAACCCTACCATTTCATTGGTTGCCCGTTATTAAAACTAGTCAGTGACGGAACTTGACCATTATATTCATAAAGCACTTGTAACGCTAGCGGGAGGAGAGCAGCTCCCAACGAGATGTATTACATTGCCTAACACTTGACTAAGCAAGAATACAAAATATGCTCCACATAATGCCCACTTTCTTCTCCATTTTTATAGCAGTAGTTTCTATTCTAAAGAGAAAAAACATCTCTTATCTTCTCTTATCAGAAGCTCAGTTATGTCTCACTGCATCTTTAAAGAAGTATTATAAATAATATAAGGGTATCCTGCTTTCGCATTTATGTATTTAACAAATTCTTATATAGTGCCCTTTTTTAGAGCAACCTTTGTAGGTAAACTTCATTGCTACATTACAACAGACAATGAGAAGCGTTTGGACTATTTCAATTCATTATTTTTTTGTCACTGTACGTGACAAAATTAACTCATATCACACCTTTTTATTTATTATGTTTGCACTTTATGCATAGTAAAATTATGTTGTAAAACGTTCAGTGCCTATTCCTCAAATAGGCGATCTCTCTACGTATATATACATTTTAATTTTAAGGTATAATTACTGTTTAAAGTGACACAGAGTATATATACGACACTATTATTGCACATTATGTGAGAGATAGTTGTGCACAATAGGAATATTGTATATTGTTAAAACGATCTATAGTATAGTATCTGCTATTTTTTCTTTTCACGTCCTATGTACTGTATACTAATTGAGTGCCACCTACCGCAGGATTAATAGATTACGGTTGTATATATTTTATACTACACATGCAATACTGCTCCACTTGTGAATACATTGTAATTTAAGAATATAATTCCTGCTAAAGCTATGAATTTCACAAAATATTATATTTGCAGAAAAAGAGAAAACCAGTAGAAGGAGTGCATTGGGTTGGTTTAAAAAGAAGATAACAAAGGAAAATACATATAAATGTAATCCTAAAGGTAGGTTATCACCCTTCTTCATATTGCTTCTTGGCTACTGTAAAACCCAAATGGTTATTTTTCTCTGCACTGTTATCTGTTTTTGATAATTAGTGACATAAATTGGCTTTTGCAGAAAACGGGAAAAGTTGTGAATTTAGTGTTCAAGTAGCAATTGTTTGGCACAAGCATTAAGAATTGTGTAAAGCTGCATGTACGGATTTAGTAAATTTGGTATGAGAATTCAGCGTTGCATGAAGCTATTTTCTGGAATTTAAATATTAACAGGCAAAAAATTAAATAATATACAATTATTAATAAGATTATGCCAGTCTGATAATCATTTTTCTTTTTTAAGTATTACAATGAAACAATCCATTATATCTTAGGGAAAATGTTCAGCTAAGCTGCCAGCTGAAATTAACCTCATACGTTTAAGATATGGTTTCAGTTTTACACCCACAGATATATCTGGACTAGAACTGGTTGCACTTTGAACTTACTGGGACTCGATTCATATAAGTATCATGATAAACGTTGACATAAGCAGTTTGTATGTAATTTACCGTGCTTTCTGTCCACTTGATAAGAAATTAACAGATAACAGTTTTACAGTTATTGCTATTATTATTACAGTTATTAGTTTGATGAAAAGAGATTAAATAAAGCAATAGCCTGGTCCAGGGCTGCTCCCTTGTCGCTGTTGCGATCTGCTTTAATTGATCTAGATGTAGAATATTGGCTTTTCCATTCTGTCATACATATTATTGATTTATTTTTGTCTAATGCACAGACAGATGGTGGAGTTACTTAGTGATCATTTTAATGTGTCTGATCAGGATCTGAACATAGGTAAAGTTTTAATGTCATCATTAGAAAAAAATGATCATTCAGATTCTGGTCGGAAACGCACCGATGTGCTATACTTATTTTGCTGGGGAATCAGGTCCAAAATTAAATTATATGACAAAATGGGAAAACCAACTGAAAAATGAGTTTTAAGTGGAGGAATGGCACGAGATTCTCATGGCATTACACGGCATTACACGGTCTGCGTCGCTCATTACAAACTTATATCCAGATGGTACCTGACTCCCTCTAGACTTTTTAAATTGCGGTCAAGTTGGTTCTCTGTATCATGTCATTTGGTCTTGCCCTTAACTAAAACAGTAGTGGGAAGATATTCACACTCAAATTAAACTCATCACTGATCAAATCCCCATTATATCACCAGAATTGTGTCTCCTGAAGAGATTCCCAGATGATTTGCCCAAAATTAAAATAACTATTTTAGGCAATCTCTTGGTTTCAGCCACTTTGGTCCTTCCTCGATATTGGAAAACAGCTACTATTCCTTCTATGACTGAGGTGTCAATAATACTCTAGAAACTAAGAGATGTGAATTAACCTTTAGACTACCTTCCAATACAGTTAAAGGGACACTATAGTCACCAGAACAACTACAGCTTTATGTAGTTGTTCTGGTGAGTATAATCATTATATGCATTTTCAGAAAGAGGCAGTGTTTACATTGCCCCTAGGTACACCTCCAAGTCTCCACTCCTCCGATGGCCACTGGAAGTGCTTCCTGGAGCAGTGCTGCATAGTAGGCAGCACTGCCGTTCAGCGTCTTACGCTGTGCATGGGGATGCTGAATTTTCCGCAGAGATGCATTGATTCAATGCATCTTTATGAGGAGATGCTGATTGGCCAAAACAGTGTTTGACCCCGCCCCCTTGCCGATTTTAGCCGATCCAATGCTTTCTCCATGGGAAAGTATTGGCTTGGCAAAAAAGGGGGCAGGGCCAGTACGGTGGACCCGTGAAGAGCTGAAAATAAGGTGAGTTTTAACCCTTTCTGAGAGGGCTACCTAAATGGTGGATTTAGCCCTATATTGTGTTTTTTTGTTATTTTTATTAGGACATATTGTAAGGAATTTTCTTCTATCAACTGTATGTAATTATATACTTTCTTCATTACCTTTTGTATAACTTCAGCGCGGTCCATCACCACCACCACTGTTTTTCTCTGTTTGTTGTTGACAGTGTTGTGGGGATTCCTTGTAGGTGGCTTTCTGCTCATTTATAGACAGAGTGCGCCACACACATAACTTTGTTCATTTCAAACTTTAAGAAGTGCTAAGAAAAAAGTCAAGAAAGCCTTCTTAATCATAAAAGGTTTTTATTTTACCAAGTAAGAGAACACACTTTTAACATACTAAATTCTCAGTGCAAGCGACTCCGAAGAGAAAGGGGCTGTTATATGAAATTTTTAGGGTGTCGTGTAACAAAGGAAGGAAAAAGGACAGTTACAGAAATATATAAAAATGGAATCTGCGGCTATACGCCTTCAGACAGGAAAAATATATTTGAGTAATAATATTACAATGCAAAGAATGGACCTTCCACAGGTATGTATTATTATTATTATTATTTTATTATTTATATAGCGCCATCAGATTCCATAGCGCTGTACAATGGGTAGACTAACACATGTAATTGTAACCAGACAACTGGACGTACAGAGAGGTGGAGGGCCCTGCTCAATGAGCTTACATTCTAGATGGAGTGGGGTACAGTGACACAAAGGGTTAAAGTAAGGGGACGAAATAGGTTGTTGGAAAAATATTCACTGAGGGCTTAGTAGGTAATTTTTGACAGTTGTAGGTGAGGAGTCATGGGGGGTGGGGGATAAAAACTTGCTAACAGTTTAATTGATATGCTTTCTTGAAGAAGTGAGTTTTCTATGATTTTTTGAATGAGTGGAGACTGGGTGAAAGTCTTACAGAGAAGGGAAGAATATTCCACAGAAGAGGTGCAGCCCTGGAAAAATCTTGGAGGCGAGCATTAGAGGTGGGAGTACGGACAGAGGATATAGATAGGTCTTTGGCAGAGCGTAGGGGCCTCGAGTATTCACTAAATGTTTATGTCAAAACAGTTGGAAATGAAATATTCTCACTGCATCTCATCTTTTTGAAAACAAAACCGTATGATACCTGTTTACAAAGGAGAATGAAACCGCAAGTATTTGTCATTATTTTCAAGTGAATGAACCAGAGTGAACGGACGTACCGTGCATACGCTTATTCTAAAGGTTCAGAGGAGGAATTACTCAGCAGACACACAAGCTCAGTAATTCTCCAATGAAATGAATGAACTCCCTGAGACGTGCTTGATTTTTTTTTTTAATTAAAGGGACACTCCAAGCACCATAATCACTACAGCAGGCTGAGTGTATTGTAAGGAATTGTAAGGAATCAAAATATTTTGAACGGTATGAATTCTTGTCTGGGGTCTACCGGGCACTGCTCCCCGCCTACACCACCATCTCCTGAGACCTGGAAGGTACCCAGCAGGACATTCTGACAGCTCTACTGTGTATCCATTATATCTTCCTGTCTGTAATTTATTTAGGATGGAGCTATAAAGCCACCCCATTTGTATATTTGCACAAGAACCAGCTATTTTATATATACTTACCTTTGACATCTTCTTCTACTTGTTACAGGCCAAAAAAGAAATTCAATCACCACAAGCCACCTGAAAGGTAAATAAGAATGATAATTTTTTTTTTATTATTATTTATTTATTTATTTTAAATTCTTTATTTTTGTTGGGCAGGTGGTTACAGGGTATCAACAGACGCCACAACAGCATATTTCAAGCTTCACGAAAGTTACAGGGGCATGATAATTCGCACAATTTTTATATTAGGTTAACTAATCAGTTATTTCATCAGAGTAGGATTAACTAGAATAAAATAACGATGCTAGTTGCTAAACATTCCAAAATATTAATAACAAGTTTTGCGTAATCATAGTGAAAGTAAACAGAATTAATACAAGCTAGTGATGTGGTCTCAGTGGTTAGACTGCGCTTCAAATAGCTGGTCAGGCATTCAGACTGGGCTTGTAGAACAAGTTAGGAAAAATAGTAGGAGCTACTGGCTGGTAATGTTAGTGTGGTGGAGCGGATTGCGTACGACTGCCTATCTCTCACAACATGTGGCTCAGATGCATTGGTATGCGGACAGTCATGGTTCCAGTGCCCCCTAAGTGGGGCCGTGGTAGGTGGGACTCGAATGTGCATATTGCTTATATCTAAATAGATAACATTTAACAGTGTATTTATGTGTATCTGTGGCAATTGAGCCTCAGTTAGCGAGCTAGAGTCTGCAGTAATACACTATAACTAAGAGGCGTCTACATTTGCCTGGGTTATAACTATAACGTTTATCTGACGCGTGAGGTGGACAATATAGGCTGGGGGATGTTCGTGGGTGGGCAACAAAATGATATAGAGCAGACCCGTAAGGTCCCCTGGGGTCCCCCAGGCTCGAGTCCTTCTTTGGGCTGACCGGCATAGAGATGAGTTGTCCCGGTTTCACGGCATGGTGTAGTGTGCTGTGGTCGGTGTCCTGGTCGTGAGCCCAGGTAAGCAGTTTGCTTTGAAGCCTTCAACCTATGCCTCGTTGGGACTGTGCTGGTCCCTGCCACGGGTGCCCCTGCTGTCGCATTTCCTAGCGGTGAGGCTGAGGGCATGGTGGATGTCGTTTGGGTGAGTCGGTAGGCTGTGGTATAGTTGCCCTTGTAGTAGGGGGTGCCCGTGGCTTGCCCGTGCTGTGTTTTGTTTGTGTTCGCCGTTTCGCCGCCCTGTTTAGGTGACATGCCTGTTTGCCTCTCCGCTGCCTTCTCGTTGATTTGGGCCTACTCAAGGGTGCCATTTGTCGCTGTGGGTCGGGCGGTAGGTGGCATGGTGGGTGTTTAGAGGTGGGTGGTAGCGGTGTCCCCTGTCTCAGTCTGTGCTCAAGCTTGAGCAAATATTTGTTCCAAGCTTGACAAGGGGGCTCGTTGTACTTCATGTCCGCTCGCGGGTCGCGTGGTCTCCGCCATCTTGGAAGGGCCTCGTGGCCCTCTTATATGTTCCTCGCTTGTGTGTGCCATAGCTGGGAGGACTCCCAGTAGTGGACCGGGATCACCCCCAGCGGTCCGGGGGGGTTGCGGGGTGCACGTTCACTGCAATCGGCTCCCGAGCCGCTCCAGGTTGAGAGCTCGGCCGCCGCTCCCATCCAGTGTGCACCCGGCCACATGCCTTCGCGGCTATAGCCTGCTGTCTGTCTTCTGCTCACGGGCCGCATTACCGGTTTACCGTGTAGACCGAGGGTCAGTGTGTCGCTTGGGGTCAGTTTGTGCCGTGTCTTGTGGGTCTGAGATGCTTTTTTAGCTATTGTAGCTTAGTTCAGGAGGGAGCTTCAGCTAGGCACGTCTTCCCTCCATGACAGTCAGGCCCCGCCCCCCTATAAGAATTATAATTTAAACAGAGTGTAGTGTTTTTCTGATTTCTTTCAGATGTAATATGCTTTGAAGTTGTTTTCCAAATATCTCTCAGTTGTATAAATGGCGTCTGCATGGATCAGGCACATGTTAAAGCGGCACTGTCATGCCGAACTTACCTTTCCCCAATCGCTTCCTCTTCTCTCCCTCTCTCAGGATCTGCTCTTCATTTCTTCTCGTCTGCTCTAGCTTTCTTAAAAACATAGGACAAAGTAGGGACTATGTGTCTTATTGAGGTTTCCTACACCTGACCATCTCTGACCAGTGTACTTCATTTCCGCTGGTCAGAGCAATTTTCTCACAATTCTCACCTTTTCTCCATGTTCCCGCGATGCATTCTGTCACCTTTCCCGAACGTCCTGTCACTTAGACAGAACGCCGGCAAAGCTACCGAATTGCGTCCTAGTTATCTACCAGTAGGCTGAAAGACCTAAATTGGTCTTTCAGGCAAATTTACTAATACTAAGTAAATATTACTTAGTATTAGTAAATGCTGCCCCTACTTGCTATATCGCGAATAGGGGCATGTCTACTAAACAGTGAGCCACCATAGGAATAATGCTTTCCTGAGGGGGAAATACTGATGTGAGCATGGCCATTGCCATGCATGCGCATTAGGTCTCCGGCGCTGGCGGAGCTGAGCCAGTGTCAAGGGACATCAGCGTTGAACTCAGGTTAGTGACAGAAAGGGTCATTAACCCTTTTTGCACCACGGGGGGAGGGGAGGGAAGCCTTGACAGTGGCAGAAGCTACAGTGCCAGGAAAACGAGTTTGTTTTCCTGGCACAATAGTTTCCTTTCAAGAGTAATGCTGGGGTCTGACGGACCCCATAAAAGATTCCTTTTTTTTAAGATTAGAAATGGTGTATGGCTGTCAACATGTTTTATTGTTTGCATATGTAACTCTCCACTTCTGCAAGATGTTTTTCACGCTTTGTGCTGTATGGTACAATTTATTTTCGCTGACCTCTGAGTGTAAGTTAAATCTAATATAAATGTTTTACTATGGCAGGTTTTCATGTCAAAGAACAAACATTGATCACAGAAAATGTACTGTATATTAATATGTTTTCAGCAAACCCGCCCCCCCCCCCCAAAAAAAAACACATTTGCTAAAAAGGAAGGGAAATCATAATAGTAGGCAAGCATCTCAGAACGGTTTAAATAATTTTTCTGATCAATCCTGTTTGTTTGGTTTTGTTTTACAGAATCTCTGCGGAATCACAAGCATTCTCTTTTGAAGCAAAATGTTAAAGTTCAAGGGAACATTGGAACTTCCTGCACTTCCTGTGAAATATTTGAAATTCAATACACCGAGCTCTTCATCACCGATGAGGACCAGAATGAAGCTCCAAACCAGCATGAATACTTTACATTAGCCAATCGTCGGGCTCGGATCTATGAGCACAACAAACATAAAAAAATCAAGCTGACTGATCTTATTTCCCCAAACAATCCAGAATGCAGGGAGCCACGCAAGGTGCTGATAACTGGGATAGCTGGCATTGGCAAGAGCTTCGCAGTGAGGAGGATGATGCATGAGTGGGCAATGGGAATGGCTTTCAAAAATGTCTCCTGTGCAATGAATTTTGCATTGCGTGAGCTTAACTTAATAGAAGGTCCAGTCAGCTTTCTTGACTTAGTCACACGAAACCATATTCATCTTCAAGGTGTATTAGAGGAACTGTGTAAGGATCCTACAGACCTATTGGTCATATTAGATGGACTAGATGAATTCAAACACCCAATCAACAAAGGAAAGAAGGTTGATACCATCACTGAACGGGTTCCTATTCAAGATCTGGTATATAGCCTCATCAATGGAACATTACTGTCCAGAGCATTCGTTGTGGTAACTAGCAGGCCCCACACAACCACTTCTTTGGTCATGTTTGACCGAAAAGTGGTTATCCTTGGTTTTGATGAAAAGCATGTGAACAATTTCTGCTTGAGGTTCTTCAGAAACAGCGAACTATCTGAGAAAGTCTACCAGTACATCATGCAGAATGATAACCTTTCCGGTTTGTCATTTATTCCACTCTACTGCTTCATCATCTGCACGGCACTCAAAGGCTTCTTCTCGAACATCTCAGAGCCCTGCTCCACTGGCAAACCACCACAAACTATGACTGAGGTTTATTCCTGCTATCTGTGTACCACCATGCATCATCGCACAAATAAAGAGACATCCAAAACAAATAATACTGAGCAGGAGTCCATTGTACTCTGCACTGAGGCAACTCTTGCAGAAATGAAGGGCATTCTTTGTCAGTTGGGAAAACTGGCCTATTACTCATTATTGAATAATAAAATTCTTTTTTATGGAGAAGACCTCAAAAGATTTGGGTTTGACCCATCCCAATTACCGGATTCATTTATGAATAGAATTTTTGTGCACGTGGAAGGGAAAGGGCCCACCGAAATGTTTTCATTCTTTCACATGACTATACAAGAGTATTTTGCAGCCCTGCACTGTGTGATTTGCATGTCTCCAGACCCTAAGGAACTTATACAATGCTTGGATCTCTGGTGTTTTGGGAATCATCCACAAGAGCCGGTACAAAGTCAGCTCCTGTCTTCATCTATGAAAATTATAACTGCCAAGCAGTGGGAGAATCTGGAAATCTTCTCTAGATTCTTCATGGGAATTCTCTCCAACAGAATTGAAGGGAAATTAAAGGGGCTGGTGGATTGTCTGAGTGCTGATATTCTTGGTCCCCTTGCCAAATGGTTTAAAGGAAAAATTAAATATGCAGTCAATCGGAGACTCCTAAATCTTTTACATTGCCTTAGGGAACTTCAGCGAAACACAGTAGTGGAAGAAGTAGCTCCTGACATTGATGAGGTCAACTTGTTCAAGGTTATCCTAAACCCTGCGGACTGTGCTACACTCTGCTATGTGTTGCAACATTCCACCACCAGACTTAAAATCTTAAACCTTGGCTACACGAATATTGGCATGCAAGGGCTTCGAAGGCTACAGCCATTGCTCCATCGATGCCAAACACTCCAGTGAGTATTAGTTAAACAGTGAAAAAAGGAACTGTCACTTGGGAGATATTGACACTTTCTAGTAGCTAGCTAAAAGTTAACTTTTACCTGCCTTTTTGTTTTTCTTTAAACCTGTCGTTTGATATATTAAGAATTATTGCAGTTTTCACATATTCCAAAAACGAGATTTCTACATAAGCCCTTCATTTCCATTCTGCAGTGTTTCCGTTTTATGCATTGGGTTTGCTGTACATGATGTCATGAGTTACCATTCTAAGAATTTAATTCAGCACTTCAGCTTTTACAGCAGAGAACTGACAATTGAATATCAACTTTTAGAAACCATTGTTTTGCCTTTAAACCTGTGCTTATGACAAATGCTATAGAACGCTATAGAAAGTATAGCATGGATGAGTCACTTCCTGGGGTGGACAGAGGTCATTGAAAACATGCAAAATGTAGAGTTTTGCAGAAAATGCAGAAATGTCTCTTTATTTTTTATGTGTATCCTTTTTATTCAATCATTTTCCCGCAGAATTTGAATGCACTCTGTATTGCTTTTAAAACAGACAGAGTCTTGGAATGTACCTATAAGTACCTTTGACTCCTGGTTTGTGTACTTATTCATCCCTTATCTTACTGCTGTATGATATGCAAAGAAATCCTTGTGTCTGCCAATGAACCTGTGTAGACGGAGATTACTATCTGATTTTTTAATCTTTCTACCATGAGTCAGTTCTATATCTTTTTTCAACTTAGAGTACACTGGTCATATAGGGCAGAAAGCTATGTATATTATACTAAGAGAAAAATTGCTTTTTACAGCACATTACACATCATTGCTTTAGTCTATCCTACACAACATTCAAATGTGCTGGTCCAACCGCAAATGTGCTGGTCTACTCGCAGTGTCGGTTTAATGTTTTTGTGCACAATTATAGTTAGAACTAAAAAAAAAAATTTTCTTTTACATTTAAGGAAACCAAGCTTCATTTTCGCGTCCCTTTTACGATGATTATATCCATCTATTTAACTTATTTTTTTATCTTCCTGTTAAGTACTGATCAATGGATCGTAACTCATAAGTCTGAGTATTTCTTCTTTTATCTTCAGTTTACGCTATAATTCTCTTGGCAAGGACGCTGCAATCATGGAGGCCGATGTGCTAAAATCTTCCACTTGTCAAGTTAAATGCTTACTGTGAGTATTGCTAGAATTCAGATCCCATCAATCCCATCTGTTTCTCTCACCATTCAGCAGCATTTGTACTGCTTTATTAATTTCCTTAAAGAGGGGTGGATACCTCCTAATTACTGACTTGTCTCGAACTCCCGTTCTATTAAACATACTTATATCCAGAGTACTATCAGGTAGTGTGTGTCGCCCTGTCAACATCTTGCCAATATACAGGCATCTTCTTCCTATAATACCAATGTGACCTTTACGTGGAAATAGCCTATGTAAAAAATAAATAAAAAAATAACTGACTTAAAATATTTTCACATCTTGACTATTTGGCTTAAAATGTCATTTTTTTCATTTACCATTACCATCTACTATTTGGTAGATAGACACCAAAATCATAGATTGTTCAGGGTGTATGTTAGGTCCAAATACCTTTCAAATTGAAGTTAGATACATTAAGTTTCTGAATTTGACACTTTAGGTACCATCATCACTTACTCTCCTTGCACAGATGGTTGTGCCCCCCATCCCTGTTTCATTGAATTTGGTTAATTTATGTCTGCAGTGATTAACAAAATTCAATGTAGCTACATGATCCCTCTCGCACTCTGTGACAATGCTGCGTGAAGATATGTATCCCCCAACTGTAGGCTTGTAAATTCCATAAAAGTCATAACTGATTTGTGTGAACCATCTCATAACTTTCCATGAGTGAACCTGAACAGACACTTGTATGCATGGCTGGCAGTGGCTTTATTCTTAAAAAAAAAAAAGTATTTCTGAATATACTATCTTGTATTTCGATGTTCCTTGTGCAGGATGTGTGGGAATCATATTGGCTCTGAAGGTGTCCAACACTTATGGGAAGCACTGAGTTCCAATCAGACACTGGAAGAGCTGTATGTGGACATTACAGGAATAACAGACAGCGGCCTAGATAACTTACTTCCCTGTCTTACGAAGAACACAACTTTACGTCTGCTAACGTAAGTACAATACACTCTGGGATCCAATGAGTACTAACCACAAATGAGAACAAAAAAAATTATAGGAATTTTAGATCAACTAAGTCTTGCCTCTTAATGTCTACATTCTGGCTGATATTCTGGCCTATTGTAAAGACTATTTGATGCACCAATTTTAAGATTAACCAATATGTCCCATCATGGCCTCATGGATTGATATATTTTTGGATAACCTTTTCAAAATAATTAAAAAAAATTCATGATTTTTAAAAAATATGAAAATATCAAAAACTATATAATATATTTAAAATATATATTTTAAAAATACATATATATATATATATATAAAAATTTATCCAAAAATAATGAATCACTTGAAAAGCTTATCCAAAAATATTAAATTGAAACCAGTGTTGCTAGCGAATTTACAGTAAATAAATGTTTTTCGTTAAAAAATTTTATAAATAAATAAACTTTTCTTTTTCTGCTCTCTACCACTTTGTTTTACGGTTTGTTTTTCTTTTCACCCCTTAACCTTAGGATCGTAGGTAATAATTTGAGTGAAAGGAGCAAGCAGCTCTTGGTGACAGTGCAGAGACAAAAGCCCACCTTGAAGATTCTCAGCAGTTTTCTAAGTGACATGGGCCTTCTGCAGGCATATCTGGACTGGGTACAAGATCTTAAAGAGGATCCACAGCAAATGGAGTCTGCAAAGAACGCAGACGCCTTGCGCAATGTCTTGGCTGAACTTGGAAAGGAGGACCCTGGAAAGAAAGACAAGGATCTTATAGAAAGGATTGAGAAGTTGAAGTTTGAAATAAGCCGCATCTTGCAAACGTCCCCCGTAGCTCAGTGACAATAACAATAATGCAGACTGGTCAATGATTTTAGATGCGTGCAATAGACTCTCAGAGGCCTTGGCATGTACATTAAGCTGTTCTGAAAATCAGCCTAAAATGTCATAAAGTGCACATTAGATCAGCCAATGGAATTTGAACTGCCGCACAATCTAACAAGTTATTCACTGTGAAGAAATGACTAGGGAATTGTAAAATTTGGATCAAAATAGCCAAACTCAAAAAGAGTTAATTATTTTTCCATCTTTTCCCATACTGCACGGTGGGTGTCAATATACCTAGTCCCTAACTTTTGGGGGGGGGGGGAGAGGGTGCCTATATATGTATGTATATATTTCTCAGTATATTAAATAAATCCCGTAAGTAACAGAGTGAAAATTATAGGAATACAGTCATGAAAAGAAAATATATTTTTTTAAATCTTTTCTACTTTTTGAAATATGCTGAGCTTATGTAATTCAATGTTAAAGTAAATTTATGTTTGTTTGTTTTTTAGTTTCTTTGATAAGGAATGTCTGTAGACAATGCCTCTTTTAGAAGATTTGATACAATTAGCACCTATATAATAATGCAGCAAAATATTAAGACTAAAAACACACACATCCATGACAACTACTCCAAAATATCTAGGTGAACTAAATGGTGGATGTAGCTTACTTACGTATTTTGTGACAAAAATTTAAAAAGACTGAAGATTACTCTGTATTTACTAAGATTTCACAATTTCATCAGTAGCATTGTTCTTAATGTTTTCACAACTGTTGTCTTGTTTGCATAATTGAATATTTTCTAGTTACATTTATGGAGTCTGTTCTGGGCTTCTAATGGAAAAAGATGCGTACACTCACGGCTAATGATGATCTCACCATGGACGGATTTGCCTGCAGAACGGAGAATGTCTTGGTCCTAGAAAAAAAAAAGAAAGGAGTTTAAGCTTTTATTCTTTCAAACAAGAGAGGCCCAGTAATCTAACATAAAAAGGAACCCTCTAACATTAAAACTAAATATATTTATTCTTAACTTTCTTTCTTTAAAATAAAATTGAGTTTGTTAAATTGATTGTGCTAGATTCCTTAAAGGGTAATTCCGACCAAATGCTTTCCTGTGGACTGTTTGAATGCGCGTTCGGCTCTTGCCGCGCATTCGCATTTAGCTCCACTCTGGAGCTGATGTCGGCGGGGGAGGAGAGGTCACCAGCGCCGAGGCAGCCCGGCGCTGGATAAAGGTAAGTAGCTGAAGGGGTTTTAACCCCTTCAGCGCCAAGGGAGGGGGACCCCGAGGGTGTGGGTTGGGGAGGCCCCAATGAGGATATAGTGTCAGGAATACATGCTTGTTTTCCTGACACTATAGTGATCCTTTAAGTACAGACTCCAGGTACTATGACCACTGCAAATCAGTGAAGTGGCCACGGTGCTTGGAGTAATCTATTAAGTAATGAGCTTCCAATAAGTGTAGGAAATGTAACAAATGTCTGTTTAATATTATACAGTATATTGGGAATTAATATGTGGCAGAAATAAAGGCTTAAAATGAAATGGAATCACAAAATACATTTTTCGATTTTCTTTTTTGGGTTGAGTGCAATGTATCTAAATATACTGTTGAATAAGTGCTATCCTTCATTAAATTGTTAAGAGAACAAGATGAGTGTGCTTCTGGTGATATTTTTTTTCCCTTATATTTGGTTTTATTGAGAACAGCAATGTCAGACGTTATCAGTGGAGACAGTAAATCACAGTGTGTTAGAATAGAAGGACAATTGTCTAGAAAAATCGCTGTTACAAATTACTATGACAGTCATCGGTAGATAAACGTCCGATGCTACTGTCTGAAATGGGTTAAAACATTGGAAAGGACTGTACACAAACTTAGGAATGTGGTTCAACTTAGGAATGTGGTCCTTCGTCGAGAAGAAGAATCACAATGTTTCGGCTCAAATAGAGCCTTCATCAGATCTAAAAAAAATTACCTCCGGGGCGTGTCCTGACTGCGCATGTGAGCGGACGTGCAGGAACGGAGCTCTCCCGGCCCGCGGCAATAAAGCAGCCATCACAGCGTGAATAACCCCTAAAAACGAGCAATAACCTACTACACCCTCAGGTAAACACCTCTGCGCCTGATGGCCACCAAAAAATTTAAGCAAAAAAACCTTAATCCCCACCTAGAACAGTCACAAACCGCGGAGCCGAAAATCCAAGATGGCGCCGACGGATGGCACTCGCCTGCCCACAGCAATGATACAGGAGACTGCCTGTCAGAGCACAGCAATCCAGCAACCAATGCCTCAATCAGGCTAATTATGCAGGAGCTCCACACCTCGTTTAAGGCTGACCTCCTTCAGATGACCGCTGACATCAAAGCAGACATCCATAGCATGGGAGAGCGTACTACCCGCCTGGAAGACAGGGCAGACGAGCTGGTGGAGGCACATAATACAATAACAGAGGCCTACACAGACTTAGAACTCAAACTAAAATCCTTGGAAGAAAAGGTGGCCGACCAAGAAGATAGGAGCAGACGAAATAATATCCGTATAAGGGGTATAACAGAGACCATTTCATAACAAGATTTATCCAGGTACGTCAAAGACCTGTTTAAAACCCTGATCCCCTCTCTGTTTGAATTCGACTTGATCCTGGACAGGACCCACAGACTCCCGAAGCCTAAACATCTCCCGCCGGACACTGCGAGAGACACGATCACGAGAGTACACCATTTCACTGTCAAGGACAGAATTATGCAGACTTCCAGGACCATGAACAAATGGCCAGAATTATATAAAGATATCAAGCTGTTCACTGATCTCTCCTCGGCAACCACGCTCAAATGCCGAGCCTTTGCACCGATTACAGAGGCACTAAGAAACGCGAATATCCCCTACAAGTGGGGCTTTCCTACGAAGCTACTAATTAAAAGAAACGGCGTAGACAAGCCCATCATGACTCCGGAAGACGGCAAAAAGGCGCTTCAGGAATGGAACATACCTTTCCTACCTACTAGCCCCAGGAAGAAACAAGCAACGGCCCAAGTGCCAAAGGTGCTGTCCAAAGACTGGTCACGAATTCACAGGGCCCCCCAGGCACGCGTGGACCCGGACAAGTCACCGACCTGAAAGATCCGGGCCCAACGCCACACTACGCCCTCCAATGAACTTAACGTACAGGTTTACACTGTTTCTGTTTTATGTAATTGTTGTAAGTTTACCTAAGATACCCAATAAGGGTTTAACAGAAGGCCACAGGCCTAGCCGCAACGGGTGAGCAATACCCGACGGCACTACACTCGACCTAAATTATTGTTGATCCCCTACACATAGGGATCCAGTCACCACACCCAGTGTGGTACACCCCCAAGGCTCTAGTAGCCCAACTTCTCCGTTGCTTCAGGCAACCATATGTCACCAAACCGTGACTTACGGAATGTTGTATATAGTTTCTCCCCCTGTTTTCCCTTCCTCCTCCGCACCACTCCCCCACTGAGAGTACTCTGCAAGCACAGCATAATTGATATACACGGTTGCAAAATACCTAGATCCCCCAGGCACACAAACCCCATGGGTATCCTTCGACGCTGCCGAGTTAGGGTAACCACTAGCTTGATTAAGAAACACAAACCCCTGCCACAGCACCCAACACGTTGGATAGATGGTGATTAAGCTCATGTCCCTAAACACCAAGGGGCTCAACTCCCCCAATAAGCGGAGACTAGCCTTGCAAGAAGCGAAAGAATGTGGGGCACAAGTGGCATTTTTCCAAGAGACCCATTTCAAATGGAACTCTAGACCCAAATTCACCTCAAAGTGGTACCCTCACGATTTCCACACATGTTACTCAGCTAAGAAAAGAGGAGTCTCCACAGTGATCAGCAAAGATGTGGCATTCTCCTTAGTTAGGAAAATTAGTGACAAAAAAGGTCGATATTTAATTTTACAATGTATGTTGAATAATGCACCGTATACTCTGATCAATGTATATAGCCCTAACGAAAACCAAAACGAGTTTTTGCAAATGATCTTGGCTCTAACTGATATGTATAGACATGGGGAGGTGATCATTGGAGGCGACACGAATTGTCTATTGGACAGCAGACTAGACTCCTCCACCACAGCCCATATCAAGAGTTGCACACTCAGACACAGAACTACACTAACAACAAAAATATGCTCCACACTGACCGCAGCCCGCATGGTAGACCCATGGCGCATTTTACACCCAACAGACATAGATCACACATGCTACACAGCAGCCCACAACAGCTACTCTCGGATAGACAGATTCCTCATACCCACCACATCGATGGCCCAAATAGAAGGAGCGACAATTGGGGTAGTGACGTGGTCCGACCATGCTCCCATTACGCTTAGCATTAAAGAAGCGTTTACCAATAAAGGATCCGGCTCCTGGAGACTTAATGAATCCCTTTTAGCAGACCCAGCAATAATATCCCAGATCACGAAAGATCTACAAAATTACATAGCGGAAAACACGACCGCTGATTCCGCAATCGAACAAATCTGGCTGGCACATAAGGCGGTCATACGAGGCAGTTTTATAAAACATGCCAGCTACGCTAAAAAGCAGAGAATGGCCGAGTATACTAATCTCTTGGAAGAAATCCGAACCCTAACACATTCAAACAAAAGAGACCCAAACCCAACCACAAAAACAAAACTTCTAGCTCTCCACAACAAGCTAAACAACATTGAACTAGCCAAAACAACATACCTACTCAGGAAATTGAAACACAATTTCTTTACGAGTGGCAACAAAGCTGGTGCAATACTAGCATCACAACTTAAAAAAAGGAATGTTGCCTCCAGGATCGCCTTCCTAAATAACCCCAAGGGCATAAAGGTAACGAACCCCCAAAACATTGTAGACTAATTCGCCCAATACTACGGCGAACTATATAACCTCAAACAGGACCCCAATGTGCGCATACCAACCCCAGACAAAATAGATGACTTCCTAGCTGCCTTGGACCTACCCAAACTGACAGA